CGATTTTATTTTCGGCACTCGTGAATGTCGCTCGCGAATTTTATTTTCGGCGCTCGCAATTTTAAATTGGATCGGACTTACAATTAACGCAGCGCTTCGGTTGTTGGCCGCTGTGCTTGGCTGCTTGGTTGCTCGACTGCTCGGGCGGCTCGGGCGGCTTGGGCTGGCTAGTCCGTGCGTGTATTACTCGCAACCTACCCGCAAGTCAGGGTATTTGAAGTAACCCTGTAAAACAAGTATATCCATTAAAGTGTCTTCATTGAAAAGTATTAAAAATAAATCTGGAGTGTTGTCCTTTCCTCGCGGATTGACGGACCCCAGTGCCGTTACGACCGACCTGATCCTCGTGCGGCACAACAAAACTAATATAAGATATATATTCCCGTTGAAAATTAGAGGTCCCCGTTACAGAGCCAGAATTAATTCCAGGTTTTATTGAATTTAAACCCGGATTCTTGAAAGCAGTGGTTTCGGCATGATTCGGCGACGACAGCTATAAAAGTCGAGTCACGAGTTTTCATATGTACTTTTCTTTCATAAGAATAGATCATATTCTTTTCGATAAATATTCTCCCATTGATGCTATCAATAGTAGTTTTATCTCATTGATGAAAAGACCGTAATAGTAATGTAAACATGGATATAATAAATAATAATTCTTTTTAGAATAAAGAAAGACGGAAAATAGAAAGAAAGTTTAAAAGGAAAAAAAAGGAAAAAGTAAAGATATTTAAAGAAATAAAAAATACGTTTATCTTTAATAAAGAATGTGGTTACAAACGGGTATATTTTATTTTTTAATTATTGGTTTCTGATAAAAAAAACATCCACTTTAAGTCTTGTAAATTTTGTTAGTTTAGAATCAATTGAGAGCTTTCATACAAAAGAGGGATGTAAATCAGGAAAACTCCGTTTTGAGGATATTAAAATAACTTCTTAATATTGACTGTCAAATTACTAAAATAAAAGCATGTTATAAAATTTGTTTCGTTTTTTTTTCTAAAACTTATAAATTTTTGCAGTAAATGTAACTATTTTAATATATTGCAAAAAGTGTAAAAAAAAAAAATTTTTTTTTTTATTTAATGATATTTACATCTTATAGCAACAGTAGTTTTTGGGGAAAAAATGGAAATAAATTATATTATTTGTCACTTTAAAAAAAAATTTATTACAAAAAGCAATTGCAATATAAATATTATTTAAATATCAAGATCAGAGTCGTCATTGGCGCTTGTATCAACGTCTTTATGGGCTTCTTCCGTCAAGTCCATGTAAAAAAGCGTTTTTCTTTTTTTGGAGGTTATCGCAAGAATGTAAGACATTTCTTACATCTTTCTGTTTTATTTTTGATATTGCATTTGGCTTCAGTTTACAGTGCCCCAACTCTGAAATAGCTTTTTAGCATCTTGAGGATATGCTTTAAGCAGTAGACCATTGTAATCTTTTCATACTTGAATGCTGTTGGAGGAATATTTCAACTGCACAGTCTTGGAGATCTTCGTGCGCTTGTCGCGCCGAACTACTTTAAGTAGAAGTTTCTCCAAATCCATAATGATCTCAGCACCATTTGCTATTATAAATAGCATGTTTCGTGAGATCTTAATCTTGGTTACGTACTGTTTCATAATTCATACGGAGAATCATGATCGTCGTTATTTATGGCGGCCGCTATCTTGCTGATGTTTGTTCACTGCTTAAAGGCACTGAAGGTTCGCTCAAAGGCACTGCTCGAAGAAACTGAGAGTCAAGCTACGAAAATTGAAAACGGTTTTGGCGAGCTTTTTTAACGCACTTTTTACTGCTAATTAAATTAATAAGGTATTAACTTTAATGAAGCTGAAACTAGCGGCCAGCAATAGCGGCCGACCAGGGCCGAATAAGTGGTGTAAGGGCCCCGGGTTTCAAAATGAGATAGCTCACAAAAGTCAGCTAAAATTTTATGTTTCAAAATTTGTAAACATAATAATAAATATACTTAACAATAAGAATTATTATAAAAAATACTTATAAATAAGATATAGCTTATTTTCGAGTAGACGAACCTATTTTGCAGGTTTAATTGTTTATTTACGTAACTAATCGTTTCTCTAACACAACCGTTGTTATCGGATATTATTTCTCGCAACATTTATTGTCAGAATTCAAAATTTCAAACGATTCTTATTTTGCGTTTGGAGATATAGCTTATTTTCGAATAGACAAACCTATTTTGCAGGTTGCCTATTTGTCTACTCGAAAATAGTTATATCTTCCAAACGCAAAATAAGAACCGTTAAAAATTTTTTACTTTGATAAAAAAATGTCACAAAAAATAATTTCTAAAATCCATATTTGTGTTAGGAAAATTAGTTACATAAATAAACAATTAAACAAGTAAAATACAGCTTTTAAAAAGCTGTATATCCTGAACGCAAAATATAAACTGTTCTAAACTGTGTATTCTGGCTATAAATGATGCGTGAAGTAACTCCCAAAAACAATTTTTGTGTTAGAAAAATAATTAGTTACATAAATAAACTATTAAACTTGCAAATTAGGATTATCTTTTCGAAAATAGCTACATCTTCCAAATGCAAAATATAAAATGCTTACAATTAGAGCTAAAAAATAAGGTAAGGATTGTCTTGGTTAGAAGAATGAATGATGTGAATAAACAATTGTTTCAATAAAATTAATTATATCTGTATTCATTGATTTATTTTAGTTTAACAAATTGCCTGTAAAATGTATTAGTGTCTCTTGATATTACTATAGTATATTACGATTTTTTTATTATTAACAGAATAAAAGAATTCACACCGATAAACCAGCAACAGTAACAGCAATTATCAACAAAACCAATATTATTACAATTAATAAAAAAATTAATTTGAAAATACTTTTTTTATGTTTTTCACAAGAATTAGTTTTCTTTAACTTAGCTTTTTTTAATTCTTTTTCTAACATGTGTTTTTGGTGTTCTAAAACAGCGAACCGATCTTTTAAATAGTAGCATGCATCCATATTATCGATTGCAACACACCGGCCTTTTTTTTCTGAAAATAATATTTTAATGTCGTCTATGGTTGCTTTTGCCAGGCATTGTGGGCATTTGTTGCATTGGTTTAACCACTTTCGTATACAAATGTAACCAAACATATGCCCGCATGGTAACGAGCATATACGGTGTTGATATTCGTCAATTTCTCTTTTTCAATTCATAGACGTTTCATCTGTTCGATACACAGAGTTTAGCTTTAGATAATTTTCCCTTAGATTTTCAATTACTTTCAAAGCTTTTTTCATCATCAACTTTTGAAAATTTTTCAAAGTAATCAGTTTTAAAAATATTTTTAAAAAGTTTCGTTGACTCTTGTTTGAGATCTCTTCCCCATGGTGTCTCGTCGAATCCTTTGTACTTATGACGAGGATCGAATATTAAGCAAAGCGAATATATCCAATTACAATTGTGATAATGCTTTGCAAGCTTATCTAAACCAGCTTGAAAAGCAACTAAAAGCTTTTCATTGGTACATTCGGTCCTGTTTTTGGAACATGACTGATTTATTTTATCTTGAAGAGAAAAAATAATTTTTTCAATTTGGTCCAGGAGTAAATTAAAAACAATTACAGCTGGAGGCATTGATGCTTTCTTTTCTTTAGATACAATTGCGGATGCTTGCTTAAAAAATTTTGCAGGTATCTTAATAACTGCTGTAAAATATCCCGGTCTGAATCGTCGAGTTTGTATTTCTGAATTTTTGGGCAATTTAGCCACAGCATATTATACGCGAGTTTCGCGTTTTATGCAGCCTCCAACATATCTACAATGCTATTCCAGTGAGTTGACACATCCAGAATTGGTTTCGAAAATTTCCAAATAAATCTGATTGCTATATTTTTACAGATAATGTACGTGTTTTTTTGCTTTCTCATGGAGGAAGCTTTGTTTTCGGGGGGGGGGGGGGGAAGCCAGAGAGTTCCAAACCAAGGTGAACATGTGTATCTGTTTTTATCTTTCTGGTCATATACTGATACAATGGTTCATGATGGTAATCCCTTGTGTTTTCGTGTAGTGTTGTTGCTAACCTGTCATCGTTTTCTGTATCGCGTACAATGCTCGCTATTACTAAGGATGGCCATACTTTCAATAACTTGTAGGCCTCACGGCTGTGTCTCGACACCAAGCCCCTTCTTCTTTCAAGTACGTCTGTGACTTCTTCATAAAAGTCAAAGGATGGGTACTTGTGGCGATTAGACTGTACAAGCTTACAGTAAACCAGGAATTGACCATATCTCTTATGCAAGTGAGATGCGAGTGGGTTATCAGCCAACAACTGTTTGTAGATGCCCAGATGAGGTGAAGATTGCTATACGCTTCACCTTTAACCCTTCCAATGGTATATGGTTGATGAAATTCTGTGCTGTATGTAATTGTTGATAACGCGTGATATGGAAGGGGCCTATTGTGATATGGAAGGGACACGATATTAGTGTTTGTGAAAGTATGTGTGAAGGAATGCAAAGATTACGGGGGACCAAATTTAACGAGACTGTATTTAAATATAAATTTGTTGATGAGTTTCATTATATCACGTGCGTCTTCTCGTAATATCAATATCAAAAATACATTTGTAGAAGCTCTATTTCTTGACGCTAATTTTTGAATTATTATATTTTGTTTTTAAATTCTTGACGTTAATTGTTGAATTCTTATATTTTGTTCTTGAATTATTAAATTCTGTTCTTGAAATTTTTTCTTTAGTTCATTTATCGTGGATTCATGCATTGTTGATTCATCTCTGCTTGATATCTCTGAGATACTGTTCGGTATTATTATAATCTGTTAGCTGATGAGAAGAGACCCGCGAAGCGAGGACACCGCCGAGTCGCCACAGGGCTGCAGTGTGGTCTAGTGGTAGAGCGCCAGACTCGTAATCTGAGGAACCAGGTTCGATTCCACTAGAGCCATGGAATATTTTTCCGAAAGCTGCGCCCCTCCGTGCAAGATAAGGCCCTTGTGCGGAGCAAACTGGGCTCCGTTTTTCGGAAAGAGACGTTAAGCCGTTGGTCCAAAGTTAAAATTACTTACTTTAATGTAATTCAATAAATCTCGCATGTTTTTCAATTCTACATCCTAAACGATGTCTCCAAATTTTTTAAGAGAAATTGGAAGACTTTTGGGATGCGCACATGGACTGCGCCAATGTGACAGGTCTTCTAATATAATTTAAGAGACAGGAGGACGTATTTAGAAGTCGATTGTAGATTTCAAGATTCTTAGGGAGCAATGAGCAAAATACGTTCTCATACGAGGTGGTTGCAGTTGCAGTTGCAGCAGCCGCGCTGCGTACCCAAAGGTAACATTCCCCGAGACGCAGCGCAGACATCTCGAGCTCACCCAGTTGCAGGATCAGGCCGCTGCTGCCTAATATTAGAGGCCAGCCCTCCGGCACCACCGCCTCGTTTCCCGTTTCGGAGGCGGCGACATTCTTGACTTTCGCTAGCAGCGTTGCAGCAGGTGAGAGATAAGTCCGGACGAAATTCTCCATGTTGCCATGATAACCGCAAACTAGGATATCCCGTGCTTGTTTTATCAGAAGATTCATAATACTGTCGCCGTAAATCGGTCCGAGCAAATTCCGGACCAGGGAAGCGAAGTCTCCACGATTTTAATTATTTTAATCTATAATTTTAGAGAAATTTAATTTTATCACGGATAATTACTTACTCCATTACATCACATATGATGCAATAATTCGTATTTTGTAGATTCTTACGAATCACGCATGATGGTTGTTTCCTTGTTTGCGCTGCAATTAACATTTGTAACGTCTCTGGGACACATATTTTGACTGTTTCTTCCAGTTCACGTGGAAAATAATGTTTTATTAACAAATGAATTGCATCGTCTGCCAGCATCTCTCCATTTTTTAAGTGTCTGGCCCATGTACTGCTCTGTACTGCTCTGTACCAATTGCTTATCAACCTCATACTGATCTAAATTTCATTCCTATTCGCAAAGATGGTATAGCTGTTTGTGAAAAATGTGGTGCTATTGGTGTAAAACATGCCTTTTATACAAAGGAGCGTAGATTTTGCAGTAGAGCGTGTGCACGTTCTTCAGAATACTCAACACCTACTGCTGACTCACAGTTTGTCCCTACGTAATTACGAGGGACATACCCAAGTTTTCTTTACTTTTTAATGGGGCCTTTTTGCAAGTTTTGCGTAGAGAATTTCCGAGTGCACCTCGTATTTTTTTCCGTTTCTTTAACAGAGCATCTACCATTTTCAACATCCTCTATTGCTTTTCGTTTGTCTTCCGGTGGATACTGTTTGTAAGGTTTGTAGGGTTTATATGCTTTGTTTTCCTGTTTGTTTTCCTGAAATAAAACAATAAAAAAGATTGTAACATAAGACAAAAAATAAAAACTCTGTTTTTAAAATAAAGATTTCTTTACCTTTTTAATTAAAGTCCCTCTGGCCCTGAGCCTTGGACTGGTTCTTCTATTGGGTAAATTTGCCGAATGTTTAATACATTTATTTGATTATTTGATTACGTTAATTGTTGAATTCTTATATTTTGTTCTTGAATTATTAAATTCTGTTCTTGAAATTTTTTCTTTAGTTCATTTATCGTGGATTCATGCATTGTTGATTCATCTCTGCTTGATATCTCTGAGATACTGTTCGGTATTATTATAATCTGTTAGCTGATGAGAAGAGACCCGCGAAGCGAGGACACCGCCGAGTCGCCACAGGGCTGCAGTGTGGTCTAGTGGTAGAGCGCCAGACTCGTAATCTGAGGAACCAGGTTCGATTCCACTAGAGCCATGGAATATTTTTCCGAAA